CCCCTCCCCCCACCCCCTACCCTCACACTGAGGACTACTTAAGGGAGGACCACTTCTTCCTTGTCTTCCCTCACATTGCAAATACTAGAAAGCTCACCCCACATAATACGAAGGACCTTGCGTTGCCAGGAGATATGAATTAATCCTGGGGAGGGACAGGATTGGGAGCGAGGAGGGGGTGGTTCACTCTTATTTTACAAAACAGCCCTGAAAACTTTCCCACACCAAGATTTGAGAACCAATCATGATAGTCCTTAACTTGGGGAGAATATGTGTTGTGTTTTGTTTTGTTTTGTATGTGTTTGGACATTGGTTTTATTATTACAAGCTTCAGCTTTCTTCCTGAATGACAAGTTGTTAAATAACACCTTCTTAACAAGTACGGTTCCCCTGTTTTGAACAGAAGATACTCCAATGCTGATTAACGCTTTAACTTAGGATGGCGGAAGTTCAAAACCAGAGCAGACAGTCCTATCTGTAAAACAAATTCTTTCAACACATTGTTTGGTTCCATTTGTGCTTCTCTCAATGCAACTTAGCTGCTTCACAGTAAGGTGATGTCACCCATTATTTTCTTTAAAATCCACCATGAATAAGGAACTAAAATTTTAAAGACAGAAAAAAAAAATCAAGTAGATTCTGGCCTCCCTGGAAAAAGCGAAGGAAATAAAGATGGAGTTATGACTTGCCTCTTAGATTCCATGAAAAAAACTTCTAGCTTTTCACCTTGTTCCACCTGGCCTTTATCATCACTAATCAAACGTCATTCTCACCTGGACCTTTCACCTTGTCCTCAATGAGGGTGCAGTTGAGACATTCTAAGGTTCTTGGGGGGTGAGTAACCACGACTTTAGCAACCTCTTTGGGACGATAAAGTGCCATGTCCAGGACCAGGCATTTAGCTGGGGAACTTGGGCCTGGGAGGCGCCCCCTGCATCCAAGAGACTTGGACCTGGGATGTATTTGTGCCTTCATCAGCGACAATGCCAGATTCAGTGGTCAGCCAAGAAGAACAGGCTCTTAGTCTCTCCTCAGCCCCTTTAGAATCTTTCACCAATGGCGCTTTTGTTTCCCAAACGTCATAGATACGCCTCAGACTGGTATTTTCTTGCCTTTTAAAAACAGGCCAAAAAAAAAAAAATCACGCTCAAAGAATGATGTGCTTTAGAAAGGCAAATCTCCCATGGTAATATTATCAGAGCAAGATCAACTCGGACAGGGAATCTGGGGTGTTAGTTTGACAACACTGGGCACTGATCCTGTAAGCTTCTTGGTCCCGACAGGATAACATCATTTAGTACTGGAAGCATCTTAAAAGATTGAGTCTTTTAAAAAGCTCACAGTAAGCTTTCTGTTAAACTAGAAGAGCAATATAAAGTCTTTTATTTACAAAGGATGTAAAATATTATGTCTAAGCTCATGAAAATATTGCTTATATATACCGGAAGGCATAATTTTATAGATCTGTTATTGACTGATCACTGAATAACAAAGACAGGCCTTTGTGGGAGCTATGATTCACTTCAAGCACTTTACATCACCATCTTTTTTACAGAGGCTAAAATAATGGTCAAACACAGAGTTAGTCTAGTTCTTTAAGAATTTATGGAAAATATACCTTTTGACCTAGACTGGGGAAAATGTACAAGATGTTTATCTTAATTTTGCTTTAACAATAAAAAAAATTGGGAAACAATGTATAATAATTGCTGTTACCATTTACTGAATGTTATCATTATACATAATAGTGCCAGGCACCGTTGGGCTTTACACAGACTGCAGTACTATTTTTATACTCTTTCAGAGCTGCGGAAGGTGAGGTGCAGAGCAAATTTTCACACATACAGAGAATGAAATATCATAGAGCGATTACAACTTTTGATGTAGACATCTTCCTTTAGAGCAGTGGTTCTCAACCTTCCTAATGCCGTGACCCTTTAATACAGTTCCTCATGTTGTGGTGACCCCCAACCATAAAATTATTTTCGTTGCTACTTCATAACTGTAATTTTGCTACTGTTATGAATCGTAATGTAAATATCTGATATGCAGGATGTATTTTCACTGTTACAAATTAAACATAATTAAAGCATAGTGATTAATCACAAAAACAATATGTAATTATATATGTGTTTTCTGATGGTCTTAGGCGACCCCTGTGAAAGGGTCGTTCAACCCCCAAAGGAGTCGCGACCTACAGGTTGAGAGACACTGAAAAATATAAATTTATAATGGATTAAAAGACAAACAAACAAACAAATTCTAGCATTGGCTGGGTGGCTCAGTGGCCATACACCAAAAGGTTGTGGGTTCAAATCCCAGTCAGGGCAGATATCTAGGTTGCAGGTTCAATCCCAGGTTGGGCGAATACAGGAGTCAACCAATCGCTGTTTCTTTCTCACATCAATGTTTCTCTCTCTCTCCTTCTTTAAAAATCAGTAAAAACATATCCCGGGTGGAGATTTAAAAAAAAAAAAGACTCAGGTTCTAAACCACTATGAATCCATTCACGCAAAATTGTGTACATGCATCTGTTTTTTAGAGATACCTAGAAGGATTTTCCAAAATGTTAAGATTATAAGATCTTGAATAGTTTTTATTTCTTTTTATATTTTTCTATATGGTCTGGTTCTTTTAAATGAATGTATAACAATTTAATAAAAGCAAAACACTTTTTAAAAAAATTTACGACATTTATATTTCTCAGACCTGATTTCTTTAAAATAATTTGCATCAATTTTATCAAGTGATGAAATGAAAATGTTCAGTAAATACACAATTAGCATCTTTAAAATAAGGATGAAATATTGACTGTTTTTCAAACATCTTTTGAATTTAGTAAACCTGTGCTATTCACTACCACTTAAAAATTATCTTTATTTTTCAGTCCCTCCAATATTCCTAGAAAACTTTTTTTTTTTAATTTTCACTCAAAAATATTTTTTCGTTGGTTTTTAGAGAGAGTGGAAGAGAGAGGGAAAGACAGAGAGAAATATCGATGTGGCAGAAACGTATCGGTTGGTTGTCTCCTGCACTTGCTCCGAACAGGGCCCTGGCCAGGGAGGAGACTGCAACCGAAATATATGCCCTTGGCCTAACCGGTTTGGCTCAATGGATAGAGCGTCGGCCTGCGGACTCAAGGGTCCCAGGTTCGATTCTGGTCAGGGGCATGTACCTTGGTTGCGGGCACATCCCCAGTGGGGAGTGTGCAGGAGGCGGCTGATGGATGTTTCTCTCTCATCGATGTTTCTGACTCTCTATCCCTCTCCCTTCCTCTCTGTAAAAAATCAATAAAATATATTAAAAAAAGAAAAAGAAAAAGAAAACATCGCTGAAATATATGCCCTTGACCGGAATGGAACCCAGGACCCTTGGGTCCACAGGCCGACGTTCTATCCACTAAGCCAAACCAGCTAGGGCTAGGACAACTTTTTTATTTGTTTTAACAAGCCAAGTCAAATTTTCCTTTCTTAAAGCATATGGAGCAATTTAAAGTACCACAGTTCTTAAAATGGCTCTATATAAACTAGGTTGAACATCTACACAGAGACAAAACTTCCATTTATTTCAATCACCTATATCAGTGCTTTTCAAACATCTTAGGAAATCATCTGGGGCACTTATTTATAAAAATAAGAATTCTGCTTCCCACACCAGAGCTACTGAACCAGGCTCTTGGGAAAGATGAGTGGCTTTTAAGGCAGAAATCTAATTTTTGAACCTCTCTCAAGAGTACCCACTTGGAAATAAGTACAATATATCACCGCACGGCAATAGTGCAAAGATCCTGGGTTTTTCAAAGCTCTTTAGCAATGTTTTATTCAGAGTTGTAGTTGCTTTCTGGTTTCTGCAATTTCATCTCACATGGGCACGGTTGAGACTAGATGTGGCTGGGCCCCATCTCTATGCCCGTTGTGTAATCCTCCCTGTGCCCTGTGGTCCATGTTCCAGCTCTCCTTTTCAAAATACTTGGCTTTAAGAAGTTACTCATTCCCAGGCTCAATATTTATGCAATCACCAAAAAAATGTTTACAAAATTTTGAAGCATGCCTTTACATTGGAATTTGTAGATTTAATTTTTTTAAATTTACCTTTATTGTTGAAAGTATTACAGATGTCCTCTCCCCACCCCACTCTCACTGTGCCCCTCCAAAATGCAACTTTGACCTTCACTTGAACATCATTCGATAGCAAAGGATTGAACAATTGTGGATTGTTCCACTATTCCTGCAGGGAACATGAGAACGTCAAGGAATTAGATCACACAAAAGAAACTACATTTGATGTGATGAAAGATGTGGAGGTTACGAGGTTAGAAAGCAGTCTTTCTGGTTTATGCTCCCAGGGCATGAACTAACCAGAATAGCGATGCAATCTCATAGCAAAACGGGTAATTTTTTGTTCATCTGCTCCTTGCTTTGCCATTAGGGAGCTTGTCTCCCCTCTCCCCATGGAACAGATTGAATAGTCAGATTGTTTGCAGGTAAGCAACTGAAACTTGCTTTCTATGAGTTCATTAGAATAAAATATATATCATTTTCAGTGTATTTTATGTGGCTTATGCAAGGTTAGGAGTTAACACATAATGTAATTATTGCCTGGAAGAAAGTAAACGTTTTTTGTTGTTCTTAATCCTCACCCGAGGATATTTTTCTATTGGTTTTTAGAGAGAGTGAAAGGGAGGGGGAGAGACAGAGAGAAACATCGATGTGAAAAAGACACATCAATTGGTTACCTCCCACATGAGCCCCAACCAGGGCTGGGGATCGAGCATGCAACCTAAGTATGTGCCCTTGACCGGAATGGAAGCTGGGACCCTCTGTCCGCAGGCCAATGCTCTAGCCCAGTGATGGCGAACCTATGACACGCATGTCAGAGGTGACACGCGAACTCACTTTTTTGTTAAATGGCATTTAAATATATAAAATAAATATCAAAAATATGTCTTTGTTTTACTATGGTTGCAAATATCAAAAATTTTCTATATGTGACACGGCACCAGAGTTAAGTTAGGGTTTTTCAAAATGCTGACACACCGAGCTCAAAAGGTTCGCCATCACTGCTCTAGCCAGTAAGCCAAACCAGGTAGGGCAAATGTTTTGTTTTTAAAGTTATTCAGTCTTTTGAATATTTTCCTCTATATTATTGATTATTAATATTTATGTTTTCTAAAACTCAAAAGATGTGATAGTTAGGCTATTATTAGGAAACAGGTGGTGAGATGAAAGTTCAAAGAATGTTAATTTCTGTCAAATCAGTGAATGAGTCATTGTGCAAAAAAGTAGGGAAGAAATATAGATCCCAGGATAGGAAAAGTTTACTTGAATGAAAAAAAGAGTAGTACTTTATGCCCGAAGCTGATTACCACTGATGCTCTGTGTAAAATGGAAACCAAAAAAAAGCAAGTTTTATGCTTTGAACTCATGTCATCTTGAATATCCTGGGACATAAAACATACAGTCTTCATGAAAGTAAGAGGCTCGTTTCACTGCCTTTAATATATGTTCAATGTTTAGCATTGCCATGGAAGTAATTTTATTAATATTTAGAAATTTAAAAACACTTTACCATTTTCCTAATGCACATTTCTTTGCAACTCCTCTGCTTCAATCAGAGATACTGTGTCTTTATGAATCAGCTTCACCAAGAAGGCTACTTTATAACTTCCAAACATGAATATCAGAAAGCAGATCAGACAACTCCCAACTTGAACGTCTTCATAATTTTCATTTCGAATTATCTTTTATTTTTGATTGGACAATACACCTTAATGGGTGTTGCATTCCATCTACATTATGAGGCTGTTCTTTTTGCAGAATCTTTGTAGTCTTCTTTTAAGAAAGCTTTTGTCTGGCTTTGGCAAAAAAAAATGCCTTGCCCTGAGAAGTGACCAGGATCCATATTCAATGTTTTCAAAATCACAGCAAAATTAAAAACTTTAATTTTATTTTCAGTTTTCATTTACTTTCAAGGTTTTTTTCTTTCTCTTTTTCTTTTCCTTTTTCTTTTTTTTTTAAGTGAAAAAAAATTTTTATACCAGGGGAAAAAGAGATTGGGGGGGAAAAGTCTGTAGTCACACAAGTTCCTTACAAAATGATGTCTTGTTTCTGGTGAAATGGATCCCTCCTTTATCTGACGTCAAATGACTAAACTATTGTTGTCCTCAGAAAGACACTTGGCTAGGATTTCCACTTGCCTTTATATTTACTTAGTAAAAGGTGTTTGTGGTGATTCACTTTCAGAGAAAGAAGAAAAGGAGAGGAGAGAACCCACGTCTTTAAGAGGCTAAAGGACAAAGTATTGAAATGGCCTGAAAAGTGTTCAGAATTTAACACCAGCAAATCAAATGTTCACCTGGGATTCAACTGGGAAGAAACGAAAGAAAAATCAATATGCAGTCAAAGAACAGCCTCGTTTTTCTAGAACGTGACCCTCCAGGAGAGTTCCAAGGAAGCTGTTCCTTAGCAACAGCTCCGAAGCCCAGAAACTGCCCTAAACCCTGATGGTCAGCTCCAGCTTCTGCCTGGACGTCAGACTTCTTGCCGAATCTCCTTACCAGGGAAATGCATGTGGCAGTGGTGGCAGCAGATGTGATCTTGTTCCTAAGCATGGGGTGGACTTCAGATGCCCTCTGCTCACCCACCGTTTTTTACAGGGACTGCTGGATCCGTCGCTTCCCGGGTCTTCTGGTCAACCTGGAGGAGTCTCAGAAGATGGGAGCTCAGTTCTTGAGGTATTATTCTGAAAGCACTGGCCAGAAATGCAGTAGGAGCTGCTGTCTGAGGAAGGATGGTAAGTGTCAATGATATGCCTGAGCAAAACTAAAAGGAAACTTCCAAAATGAAGACCTAAGTAAGGAGTCCTGGGCAGAGGGTCCAGTGAACAGTTGAAAACAACTAGGAAAGATGCCCTGAGATGAAGGAGAAGAGGGGGGATGGAGAGACATTGAGACTGACTTTGCCGTTTGGGACAGTGTAGGCTTGATCTACAAACCTAGCCATGACCCCGAATGCTATGGAATCTATAGGAAACAGAGAATCCCCTTTCCTTCACTAAAGTGCGAAATGAAAATATTTCTCCAAGTGTCAACTAACAATATTCCTATAGCCCAAAACAGCATATTTAATTTTACAAATATTTATAATAATTTCCTTTTCAAAGTTGTTTTGGTGATATTGGTATCAGTTCAAAATTTTTAAATGTGTTTGCTTGTGTTGACCAAATGTGGGATGTATTAAACAGGAATTTAGATTGGATTCATATTTTGAAACAAATAGGGAGATATATGTCAAATAGAAAAACAAAAAGATAAGGAAGAAAGGAGAGAGAGATTAATTTTCAAAATATCCTAACAGATATGTTTTGTTTGCAATCCAGAATTAGGATTTAATGTCATCCATAGAACATCCACAGAAGCCTATACTTAGGAAAATATTTCATTGTTACAGAATTTTAACTTACAATTGTCTAAAGACTTCTTTCATTTATTTTTCATTCTTCCAAGATGTTAAAGCTACTTAGGAAGAAGCAACAAAGCTACACACCACTTTAAATTATTTCTCTTGGTTGTTCCACACTTTCTTTCCGTGGTTTGATTCTGACTTGTTAATTGCCGATGCCTCCTATCTAATATGCATGTAAGATTTTTGGAATGCAAATTAGAGTTACTTGGAGAATCTAAACTAACTGTCAAAAAATAAAAAAGAAAAACTGTCAAAAGACTATAGTGTGCGATGCTGTCACAGGCTAAGTCCTCAGAAGTTAATCATGCACAGAGGAGAGCAATTAATTTATTAAAGGGAAATCTTTTGAAAAGGTAGCCAATCCAGTTTTTCAAAAAAAAAAAAATACAGGTATCTCATATGCCGCCACTTGGCTTTTTTTTTTTTAAATATATTTTTACTTTTTTCAGAGAGGAAGGGAGAGATAGAAACATCAATGATGAGAGAGAATAACTGATTGGCTGCTTCCTGCCTCCTGCACACCCCTATTGGGGATCAAGCGCGCAACCCAGGCATGTGCCCTTGACCAGAATCAAACCCGGGGCCCTTCAGTCTGCAGGCTGACGTTCTGTCCACTGAACCAAATTTGCTAGGGCCCAGATTTTCACCTTAGAGAGTCTTCTCATTCCAGACACCTTCACTGACAGGCTGTGGGGGAGGGTGTACCTTCTCTGCATTTTCTCCTGGCATCAATTTACCTCTGAACACGAGGGAAGCTGTGGCCTCTGGACCTTCAGGACAGTATAAGCATCCAGTCGAGTTCCAGGAGGCATCCTGTGGCTTCCAAGTTGTGACTGTCTTTCTCCAGAAGAAAGGGCACAAACACACCTCCCAGTTTCCAGCTCGAAGCCAGATCTTAAAAATGCCACAATCCTGCAATAGCGGACCTGCTCAGAGGGGACCCGAAATGTACACGGAGATGTAAAAACTGTTCCCTACAGCACCAACTTTCTTATCAGAAATTTAATGTCAAAAATTGAATATTTTTTATTACTTTCCTTTAGACCAGTGGTTCTCAACCTTCCTAATGCCGCGACCCTTTAATACAGTTCCTCATGTTGTGGTGACCCCCAACCATAAAATTATTTTCGTTGCTTCTTCATAACTGTAATTTTGCTACTGTTATGAATCGTAATGTAAATATCTGATATGCAGGATGTATTTTCATTGTTACAAATTGAACATAATTAAAGCTTAGTGATTAATCACAAAAACAATATGTAATTATATATGTGTTTTCCGATGGTCTTAGGCGACCCCTGTGAAAGGGTCGTTCGACCCCCAAAGGAGTCGCGACCCACAGGTTGAGAACCGCTGCTTTAGACTTTACAGCACAGCCTCAGGGAATGTGTTTGTAATCTGTAATGTATTAGCAATGTATTAATGACATTTTAAAAATATGTTTTTATTGACTTCAGAGAGGAAGAGAGAGGTAGAGATAGAAACATCAATGATGAGAGAGAATCATTGATCGGCTGCCTCCTGCATGTTCCCTACTGGGGATAGAGCCCACAACCCTGGGCATGTGCCCTTGACTGGAATTGAACCCGGGATCCTTCAGTCCACAGGTTGACGCTCTATCCATAGAGCCAAACCAGCTAGGGCTGTATTACTGACTTTTGTCCCATTCTTTCTCCTACTGGAAAAGTACACAGTGCAGAAACATGGGTGTCCCAGAAGTAATGGGGGACAGGCACTTCCCACAGATCACCTTACACAGGAGTATAGGTTCAGCAACAGCAATTCCACAGCAGCTTTCGGCATCGCTGAGGCCTGGTAATAGTACACCATGGCTCTGTAATCTTATTTTATTAGAGTTGATACCTTTTGGCCAATGGATATTCCCCATCAAGTGGTTCCCACTCCACGGCAGCAGGGAAATATACGTTGCACGTTAGGGAGGACAGACTGAAGATCTGCATTCAACAAGTATGACTTTAGCCCAGCCGTGGGCAAACTACGGCCCGCGGGCTGGATCCGGCCCGTTTGAAATGAATAAAACTAAAAAAAAAAAAAGACCGTACCCTTTTATGTAATGATGTTTACTTTGAATTTATATTAGTTCACACAAACACTCCATCCATGCTTTTGTTCCGGCCCTCCAGTCCAGTTT